GTTAGTCCTTGCTGTTACGCTGAGTTGCTGCTGCGCCTTTTTAGCCATTTAATAAGTATATCGCAGGATAGGTTGTTGAGTCAGCCTAGTTAACCTTAAATTAAATTGTTACTACAGTTACTTACTTAGCTACCAGCACTACTCTAATCAAATAAGCTTTGAATAATATTCAAATAATCTTTGAATTTATTGTGAAATTATCCTTAAGTTTCACTGAAAGTCATCGGAGTTATTGTACGTGCGAAGTCCGTACATTTTTGTTACATAATTCAGAACCAGTATTAGTTGGATCTGCTATTCTAGCAGCAAGTGCTGCTAATTATTATCCATCAGTTGTAACTGCAATGTCATCCATGTGTGGTGATGGTGTTGTCATTGAACCTAGTCTTTATCATAAAGAATATCATGAAAAAAAGTATCAAGTGTTTCTGAAGTTACTGAAATGCCAGGAAAAAGTTAGTATTGTTATGAATAAGCAATCTGGATGAGTGACTTGTCTAGGAAATTTGTACTGAAATTATTATAAAACTTCTAAGACATTTTAGGAAGTTGATAGATGCTCAGTTTTCAATATATGGATTTAATTAATCCTTTTCATATAAACCCAATCTGCAAATTAAAAGATGGTGACAGCTTTTAGGGATTGTTCCTGAGAGTAAATTTAGGAACGGACCTTTTTCGCCTGTGAACAGTCAAGACTTTCTTCTCTTCAAGAACGATCTAATTTTGCGTGCAAGGACAGTTCGCGTGGTGAAGCCTCTTCAGTGACAAGTGACAGTGCGTCAGAAGGGAACGCCGGAGGAAGCGTGATCTAGTGCCGCAAAATAGTGCAATTTCCCGGAAGAATATACAAGTAGTGCCAGGAGAGTCAATCGAAGGCGTCTTCAAAATTGGTGGGTACCATTTTTGTGATTTTGGAGAGGTTATGCCAGTTATTCGAGACTAGGCTTATTTTGGATATAGAGCAGGAAAAGGTTGCCTCATAATTAGCATTTTTTTATATACGCTTTGTTTGTAGGCATAGGTATTATCATTAAGTGTTGTAAGGCAATTTGTGTTCAGAATTGTTAGGGAATTATTCAGTTTTGAAGAGATAGACCTGTTGTTGTTTTTGTGTTATTGTATTTCGAGATAAGTTTTTCTCTGCAGAATTGTATGTAGCCATTTTTTTTAGCATTCAATAAATTTTATTACGCTGTGTTTTGTTTTCAACCTGATGTCACAACCCAGGGTTTGCATAGCGGTTTCGGCGACTACACCACAGCAGTAAATATTAAAAGTTTAAGAGTTTGACGAAAAGTAAAGGGTATTTTACTCTTCTTCTGTTCTGGTATTCTTTACGCCTGTGCGAGAAGTCGCCAGGTTCATTTTAAGTGAGATCTATTGAAGTTTATGATATCAAAGGGAATTACATCCCACATTCTCATGGTAAGTTCCTTGTAAAAAGTAGGTGTGAAAGGAATCTGTTTCTTTTGGTGTTTTTTCCACTTCAGAAATGAGATCTACAAGCTGCGCACTTCTGTAATCATCATCACCCTTCAACATCAGTGTCGGAGTAATCGTTGCTTACTGTATCCTCAGTTGTCGTTTGTTTTAAAACACGCTGCGAATTTTTGAAGTTTTCCGTTAGGGGGTTCCTGTCCAATTTTTTAAGATCATAGAGAAAATACCAGTGTACTTTCACATGCAGCCTCAAATCATTTCTTCAATGAAAAAATTGCTTGATCTATAAATGGACTGAAAAAATATTTTTTAAACTGCTTCTTTGGATATACTAGGACAATGGTTCTCAACCTTTTTCAACACCATGCACCCTCTTTCACCATAGCTAGCAGATCATTCCCCCTTCCTTTCCAAAACTATATATACACATTTAAATTTAGATTACCTTTTAGCTTGTTTTATAAGTTATTAACAAAAATTATTAAAAGTGTTGATGAATACCCAAACTTGAATAAAATTGTTTCATAAGAATAAATTGAATTTAATTAAATAAATTTAATTTAAATACAAATTTAATTAAATATTCTTTGCGCCATTGCTTCAAGGAATGAAATTTAAATTTAAACAAACTTAAATTTAAATGTTAACATACACGTATAAAAGTAAAAAAGCCAAAATTTTAAAAAAAAAGTAAATTTAAAGCCAAAATAATTTCTAAAAAAATTTTAAAAATGTGCAAACATATAAAAGATTTAATTCTCGAACTAATCTACAATATCATTTAAATTCAGAAGCATAAGCAAATCAAGTGTAAAACCAATCCATGAAAATAAATTCACTAATTTAGCAAATTAAAATTAATCCAAACAATTTTTTTAAAAATGCATAAGTGAATGACTGTTGAGTAGGCAGGAGACAGACTTATCAAGGGGAAGTTGCCTCGAAACCTTTTTTTTTTTTTTTTTCAAAAAAACCTTTTTTTGAAAAAAAAAAAGTTTAATTTAATACTTGACTTTACTTGCTTGTTTCTCAAAAGACTTCATTAGTATTTTCCTTTTAGAACTTTAATTCTTAAATGCTAATTTCTAAGGGTACCGCTTTTATTGGTATTTCTTTTTACTTTTTGTTTTGACTTTTACCCTTGCCTGCATGAATGACGAAACACGAATTGAATGATTGGAGAGTTAGGTTTGGAGGCAACTTTCCCTTGATAAGTCTGTCTCTTGCCTGCTCAACAGTCATTCACTTATGCATTTTTAAAAAATTGTTTGGATTAATTTTAATTTGCTAAATTAGTGAATTTATTTTCATGGATTGGTTTTACACTTGATTTTCTTATGCTTCTGAATTTAAATGATATTGTAGATTAGTTCGAGAATTAAATCTTTTATATGTTTGCACATTTTTTAAATTTTTTTAAAAATTATTTTGGCTTTAAATTTGCTTTTTTTTTTTTTTTTTTTTTTTTTTTTTTTTTTTTTGATTTTGGCTTTTTTTACTTTTATACGTGTAAGTTAAAATTTAAATTTAAATTTGTTTAAATTTAAAACTTGAATAAAGTTGTATTTTATATTCATAAACCAAAACTAAACACTTAACAGGTAAATAAAACGCTAATAGAATTCCCTCCCCCCTCTCGAATGTCTGAGTTTCCTCAGGAAGAGGAATTCCTTCCTGGTTCAGAATCCTGTACTAAGAATTTCACTAGAATGTTCATTAATAGTTTTGAATACGGATTGCAATCCCGAAGAAAATAATGAAACACAAAATAAATGTATCAGTATAGATGCAAAATAAAATTAAAAGAGAGTATATAATTTCTAGATTGGGGGGAATCATCTGTTTGAAAATGGAAAAAAAAAAAAAAAAAGAGAATCACCCCTTGTAAATAAAGCTAAACTCAGGTGAAATTATAAAATATAAGAAATAACTCCATCTTTTAAAGAAATGAACGGTTTCAGCATTCTTAATCAACATTCGAGTATCATGTTTCGAGCTAACAGCGGATGCTCAGACAATGAATAATTTTGAAAATACGCTTCACTATACAGCACTCCAAGCTTAAAAACACAATATTGTATTTTGATATTTTACTCCTGCTACTCTACCGGGATATTGCCACTTGGCTGGCACCTATCGTAAATCAGCACCCTATGGAGCCGCCTAAGTCATTTATATCATAACCTGGGCCAGTGCATAGTTGACCTTAATCTGGTACAGATAAAGAAAATATATGTAAAGAGTGAATTTGGCTAATTTTTTAAGTTCAGACTTGTGTGATTTTCTTCCTAGAGTAACTTCAAAATAATTAGGAAATACTGCATTCAATATATCGAATTTTCAGTCTTGTATTCAATATTTTTAAATTGCTATGTTAGGTTAAAAAAATCTGAAACGTTAACGTTTTGTGTGTTAACTTTATTTATTAAATATCATGTTTTTCGTACTTAAAACGTAAAATTCAATTCAACAGCGATATCACAAAATAATTTTAAAAGACCATATCTTTAGAATTGCCACCACACAATCTCGCGCGCTGGAGATAAAAATAATTTTTATTCGTACAGTGTTGCCATTGCTCGCTTTGAAATCGTTGACTCTGTTAATCAAAATTTCGTTTATCTGTCAATCAAAAAGTTTTAGAAAATATTAAATAGGTTATTTATGTGAGTATCGTTTGCTTCATTTTACTGTTTCTAACAGCGTAAATTTCTTTTGTTTTTCTTCCTTTAGATTTGAACTTTATGTGTGGCAACAAGGTAATTGATTGATAGAATTGTGTTTATGACAGCCATGTAGAACGGCTCGCTTATTTTGTATCAATTATTTCGCATCGCTGACATCTTATTTATAATTAGTGTAATGAAATAAAAGTGAAGGAATACAGTCCATTTGTTAAGTGATTATTTGTTTTTGTGAAACATATTAAGTAAAGATCATAATAAAACAAATTCCAAATTTGAGCTTCCAGACTCCCATATTCAAGTGGAGAATTACATTATTCAAAATTTGATGTCTCTAGGTACCGTTGGTTTTTCACAGTGCGAGAAACATACCTACATTCATGTAGATTATTTTTTTTAATATAATGCAGGGCGATAATATTTGGTGGCAACAATTTGAAAAGTAAAACGCCGTTTATTTTGCCTAACCAAGGCAAAATGCCAAAACGAAATTAATAGCCCTTCTGGGCAAATTGGCCCTTTAGGTTAAGAAAAAATCTCGAATATTACGCAAGCACTTGCTTATTCAAATAGATAGGGTTAAAGCAAATGCAAAACAGAAATAACACCTTATTAATAATTCGGAATGAAACGAACGCTTGATACTAACTGTTCACTTAACATTAACTTAAAAGATTTTACTTCACTATTACTTTTTCTCCTTTCTCTTCAGCAAACGGCATTTCACGGACTTTGGATACTAAAAACCCATGACCGTCACGGTTGTATATCAAATAAGAGGAAGCAAAAATTAGAATATGTCCAATAAATAAAAAGATATTGCACTTTTCTATCACTTTCGGAATACAGGAATAATGAGAAACAAAAACCTACCTCTGTATATAGCAGTGACCTGATCACGGCGATAGTTTATAACGTATTTAAAAGCGGGAAATGTCGCCTTTTATTATATACCACTTTCCTACTGACCTAGTGAGCAACTCAACTCAGCTTGCATACGAAAGGGTAACGATGAATCGTGCACGTTGGTTGCTTTCCCCTTTACATAATTTCTTCCGATGTTTCATCGCCTACTTGTTTCAATTTTTTACGACTGTTAAAAAACACTTCCGTTCCAATGTTATTCCCTGTGTTTGGAACAAAGAAAAAGAATTCGAGCATCATTTCTGTTCTCCCTTCCTTTTCCAGCTCAAGGGTTGCTTCATCATTGTATTCTAGAATATTCACCGTCTCGATTCTTCTCTTCTACGTTTTTCCGACTCATTAAATTTGCTGTCTCCAACCCCTTAATGAGCTAAGACAAACTATACCAAAAGTGCATAACTCGATTAAGAGTAACGGCATTCATGATCTCATTAAACTTCATTTTCCAGTTTGTGATCCAGAAAAAATGACAAGTGCTCATAAATTGTTGATTACGTTACAAATCAAAACAAAGCATACGTTATGTGGTTTGATGGGACATATTAATTTGCTTTACTTTAAACAATAAGTGAATTACTTTCAAATAATGTAATTCCATACTCTTAGAAATTACAACATACAACCCATACCTGCTGTTGTATTGTAAGGAGTTAGTGCGTCCAACTAGCAACTAGACGATTCGTAGTTCGACTCCCGGAGATTGCAGAGTTGACTTTCTCACGGTTTTTGCTCGAAAAATTATCATGATTTCTAGAACGGCGCCCAAACTAAAATATTAGGCAAATAAATTCATCCCCATTCTGATTTGATCGACTGGGTGTCTTGCCTCTTACCAGTGCTGTTTAAGTGATGGAGAATGTGATGAATGATAGTATTCTTCCTGAATGCTTTCAAGACATGAGCATGAGTTGTTTGGACGCCTGCCTAGCAACTGGAAGAACCATAATTGGAACTTCGACTAGTGCACAGTTTCATATTTTCACGGTTATCGCTCCGAAATATCTGCTAATCTTATACTCTTTATTGCATCCAGGTTGTCTGGACATCTCTTGACAACTGCTTGGATAACAAATACCTAAACGAAAAACTGTAAGCTTAGGAACTTTCTCACATTTCTACATCACTGAGTCACTGTGGAGTAAAATTCAGACTAATAATAATACCTGAAAAAAAAAAAAAGAGCCATTAAATGCGTCTATTATCGATAAAAGAAAGTGTATCAGAAATAGATCATCTTGTAGAATTGATGATTCTAGAAGGCAGTTATCATGTCAATGAGTGTGGGTTCAAACCCCTGATACAGCTCTTTCCCCCTTTTTTCTTTTGTGTGTGTGTTTTTTGTTTCGGCATAGAGGCTTGGATGTTTATGATCCTGATATTTGCGCAGATTACGAGCTCCTTAAAATTATTAGTCCAAAATCATGCGTAGGTAATTTTAGCAGAAGACAGGTAGAAGACACTCGGATTGCCTTTCAGGTTCTCTTTCAGACTCTAGGATATCATCCATCAATAATATTCTTGATCATAATCAGAGTAGTATTCCATGGCCAAACTGCCATGGCCAAACTGATCATGGCCAAACTGCGAGTTTTTGCCTTTTAAACGCGGGTCGCTTTATAATAAGCAATGTTGTACAGGCGAAACGGAAGACTTCTATCGGAAGACTTTTAAATTCCAAAATTAAGGTACTGATGTATTCTGAATAAGACTTGTTCTTGAACATCCTTGTTCAAAGCAATGGACTCTTCTTGCACCATCATGTCAAGATCAGATATATCACAGTTCAGTGGTTCTATGAGCCATGCTGGCACATTGAAACTTTCACTGTCTTCGAAACGAAGATCAAAATCTTTTACATTTTGCAAGTGGCTTGTATGTAACAATACACCTTTTAAAGAAATGCATTCTATTTCCGTTATGTGCAATCGCATTAAATTTACTGGATCAGAGTAATGGAATTCTTTTCGATTCAGTATCGAAGTCAGTTTTAGAACATAAACTGAAGATAATTATTACAGCTTCAATCAAAGCTTAATGTCTTTTCCTTGCACTTTGTTTCGTGCCAAGAATATACTATATATCAATCAAGTAGGATATATACCTTTTTAAAAATTTTTAATACAACAACAATTTTTTGATTCTATGAATTGTGTTGCCTTAGCTTGTCAACTTCAAGTAAAATTCTATTCGGTATTTAAAATATCTGTAAAACGCTGAAAGCGGTTATTATGTCTATAAAACCCTGCAAACAGTGATCTTGATTATCCGATCAATTGCTCGTTCACATTCAGTTATTGATTCCTTAACTATAAGTCATCCTTAAGACACAGTAACACGCCGAACAAATACTAATTCAGAAGTCAAACAACAAAAATCAGGGCTATATTTTCAAATTTTCACAGGACTAATTTCGATGGTTTTACCGAACCACCATTCTCAGCTGCAAAAGCGCAAATGAACGAGATAGGATATAATGATTAGATAAGATAAGAAAAGCTGTACAGAAAATAAGCTAGTGGCGCCCTTTGTTGATGAAACCAGAACTAAAACATAATTTCTTTGCAGGACGAAGGCAAAGATGGATTGGAATTAGGATCGTTAACTAGAACAGAAAGATTTTTTTGAATGTGAAATGCCTCTAGAAAATCCAGTTCTCCAATGGAAGATGTCTTTTGAATAATTTTGGCAGCAGAAAAAATTGAAAGTGTGATTTTCGGACCAACAATGTTGGGCTACAGAAGACTTCTGTGTTTCCTTTTTTCTATGAGAGATCTTTTTCCTTTTTTTTTTTTTCTATGCATGAGATTTTCGGGGTTTTCCTAATGTATAACGTCGATACAAGCCAGTTCCTGAGAAAGTCCTACACAAAGGCATCCTTCCCTTAAGCACTTAGCGCTAACGTGCTTTGCCGTAATATAATAAATCCAAATCTCCTACTGAACTATTATGCGGTTATATGTTTCGTCGTAACTCAGCATCCAAACGATTAACTGTACACTCTACATGAAAATATTAATTATATCTTAATAAGGCGAATATACTTGAAACAAAACAAGATTTAATTTTCACTGGAATACCTGATTAACAAAGGTGAAAGAAAATACTCTGATAATTTGACAATTAACTAAACAATTTTAATCGTGGTAACATCAAGTATTTACTTATCTTCCTTTCCCTAAGCTTTCTTTTTTAAATTATATTTTCCCTGAAAAAACACCAATAAATTTTTATCAAAGAGTTTAATTAATTAATGACCTTTTTTATAAAATTTTATTTACAAGTATATAGATATAGGAATTATATAGGAATATATATAGTTATAGGATTATATAGGAATATATAGGTATAAGGATTTATATAGAAATATATAGATATAGGAATTATATAGAAATATTGATAAATATAAGAATGATATAGGAATGTTAATAAATTTAAGTCATATACGAAAAATAATCCAAACGGGAAACAGGTAAACATGTAAACGAAATTTTATGTTATTTTATATAGTAAAAATATGAGGAAGCTAGAGAACTTTTATGAAAAATAATAAAAGTAGTTTAAAAATAAACGAGACTATGTATTTTCAAGTAAACTTTTACAGCAGAATACTGTGAATACTGAAAAGGACTAAGATAAGTATGCTGTAAAATATAATAAAATAGGGTACGTTTATTTTCCAGACGTTTTGAAATTCAACTTAATTATATTGGTAAACGTGTTGTAATTTTTAATTCCGTGAAAACTTATTTTTCAGATTTGTTTTACTGAAAATATTATGCGCTTTCATTAATATTACACAAATGCCGCATTTCAGTTTTCTTTATTACGCTTGTATTATAGTTGGCTAAGAAAAATTGTTAATGTAAAATATATTACATGCCTGCCTGTAATTTTTTTGGGGGAGGGGAATAAAAAGATGAGTTGTAAGAATTACGTAACAGGCTGAAATTGCTATATCGAAAATACATATTTGGAGCTCATATGTTCTAGTTTGCGGGGAGTACCGAAATTCGTTAAATATATACATCTCTATAAACAATGAATTTTCGCAAAACAATTATCAATAGATTGTGGCTTCTTCATTGAATCTAGATCTTTAAATTTCCCACTATTTTAAGGAGAAAGACATCGTCTTTAGATTTCTATATGGAAAATGATTTCTTTTTACTTCCTTGTATGAAGTAAAAAGGAAGTATTGTAATCGCAAAAAGTTTCAGGCAGCATATTTCAACGAAAATATCCATTTTGACCGCTATCGAATGCAATTTAACGATGTTTTTGCATGATATCTTTACGTAAGGACAGAATAAAATAATCTTTTCCTTCAAAAAAATTATAAAACTGCTTTAAAATGAATTCTGAAGAGAATTTTTCTTGGCGTCTGTACGAACGTATGTACGTACGTATCTCGCATAACTCAAAAATGAGTAGCCTCAGAACGTTGAAATTTTGTATATAGGACTGCTATAACATGTAGATGTGCACCTCGTATTTTGGTTACAATCGGCCGCACCAAACGTATATAAATATATTTATATATATATCCACTCTACCCGGCTCAGTGATCTCAGTTTCTTTACTCTTATATGTTTGTAAATTGTACATTTTTTGCTTTAAAAATGATTGTGTTATGTTGTTTTTATCTTCCGGTTAAGGTTTTTATGCCTTTAGTTAATCTGTATGCAATATTTTTAGAATTATCAACAATTTTAAAGGTGTCTAAGTGCCGCTAAGCTTTTTTTTTTTTTATGGCGGCCATTGATGTTTACATTTGAAACAGGAGACTAGTGGATTTGTTGCCAATCTAGAAAAACTTAGCTTCGCAAAACAAAGATAACGTCTTCATTTATTATTGCCAATTAAATCATGCTTAATCCTTTCTGGAATTTTTTTCGAGGAAATAAGTGTTTAAGATTTACTTCGTAATTTTTAATATAGATATTTTGAGTTTTTATGTATTTTTGCCTTCTCGCAAAGTGAGAACTGAATTAATTAAATTAGAAATACTCAATCGTCTGTGAGAAACTGTTTCTTTTTTGTTTTGTTTGCTTAATTTCTTTTATACATCATTCTAGCTTTATTATAGTATTTGAATAAAACA